AACACCCACCCCACCACCCCCACTCCTGCTTTCCCTCAGGCTCATTCCCTAGCTGGTCAACTCCACCTTCAATGCCTTCCCCTCTCTGACCCAGGCTCCTCCCCCTGCTGTACTCTTTCTTTAGAAATGTCTTTCCTTCCCTCCCCCACACTGGATCTGGGATGTGAAACCAAACCTCACTTCTCCGGCCTCATCCCACTCGACCCACCCACAGCCTGGAGACAGGCTACCACCACTGCTTTCTCCTTCCTGAACCCCTCGGTGTTAAGTCCATGCCAGTCTTCCACCTGCCCCTTCTCAACCTCCCTCCCAGCACCTCTGCTTCACCCACCCTCTGCACATGGCCATGCCCACCCCCCACCAGTTCCAACCTTAGCCTTCTGCCCTCTTCCTCTTCACGCTCATTTCCCACCCCTTCATGACACTGCCATCTCTGGGATTGCGAGCCAAGCCTCTCCCTAGCTCCAGACACTACTGCAAACACGTCCATGTCCCAGGTTCTGTTTCAGTGCTGGGACCACCTCATGAATAGGACAGATAGCTCTCAGCCCTCATGGAGTTTAGACTCCAGTGGGGAAACCCACAGTGAGTGAACAAGGTAATTTCCGTTAAGCAGACCCTTTAAGGAAAATCAAACAACAGGACGCGGTGGGGAGTGATGGGGGGGAAAGGGGTGACATTTTAGCTGAGGTTTGAATGATAAAAGGTACAGAGAGGAGAAAAGAACCCCAGAGGGAGGGACTGGCAAAGGACCTGAGGTTAGGTCACTTTGGGTTGTGCAAGGGACAAGCTGAAGGAGGCAGGGCCAGACTCCAGAGGGGCTAAAGGCCATGGGGAGGACCCTGGACTGTTTTCTAGTGAGAAGCCACTGGAGGAGGATGAGCAGGGTCACACCGGGATTTGCTTTCCATTAAAACAAAACAAAAAATCTCTGGACCTGTTTCACAGGCACCTCCCTTAGGTCACCATGACCCAAACCTGAAACCTTCCCTTTCCCCCTCCCCCAGGTGACCTGGTCCTGTCATCCCGCCTATAACTTCCCCTGGAGTTGTCCCCCCTCCCCTCACCACCACCCCAACTTTACCCCAGCCCTCCTCCCTAGCCTCCCCACCTCCAACTCCTGTCCCTCACTCACCCTCCTCAAGGCAGCCAAACAGATCTGCCTCGAACAAACCCATCACCAGCACTGAAGCCCTCACAGCTCCACACTGCCCTCAACACAAAACTCACACTCTGCCCCAGCCCCAGGCCCCTGAACAAGCCGGGGCTCCCTTGTCTGTTCCCCCTTGGCATTTGAGGGCTCCCTCTGCTCAAAGCTCTGCCTCACCTCCACCCACTGCCCACTAGGCTGTCACCTTGGCTCTGCACTTACTGGCTGTGTGTCTCTAGGTTAAATGACTTAACCTCTCTGTGCCTGTTACCTTCTATGTAAAATGTAGAAGATAATAAGAATACCGTAAGCTATAATCCATTTGACATGCCTAACCCTGGCTTCATTATCACCCCCTCCCCAGCAGGGAAGCAGAGGCCCAGAGAGAAGTGACTTGCCCACAGTCTCACAGCTAGGCCTATACCCGAAGGCCTCCAGGGAAGTCTGCACATCCCACACCCTCCGAAGCTGACGCTGCTGGAGCCAAAGGACACCCACGTGCGGGTGACGACACGGGAGCATGCGGGTAGAGGGCTGTGCCACTGAGTCCTGCTGAACAAAGCTGAATGGGCCTGGCATTTTGACCAAGGCGGCAGAAGCAGAGGCTGCGGAGGCAGCAGGCGGCCTTGGGGAGATGAGATGGGAGAAGGAGAAGGGAAAGATGACTTGGCAGGGCCCAGGGGCACAGATGCCACCCTGGGAGGGGCACCAGCAGCTCCCTTCTCAGGGCAGCGGCAGCCCCACCCTGGAGCCTCGGTTTGGTCCGCCGTGGAATGTAGAATCCTGTTCCCCAGGGCCAGCTCCCAGCCACTCAATGGGGAGATCCTCCCCAGGACTCTGACTATTGGCCCTTCCCCGGAAAACCTCCCAGCGAGGGGCTGGGGTGGAGGCTCTGACCCAGCCCACTTGGCCCGAGCTGAAGGTGAGGTGCCAGGCCAGGTGCTGGGAGGGGGAGCAAGGGGGCAGGAAAGGAGACCCTGCCCTTCCCTTCTGGGCAGACTCTTCCCTAAACCGGGGCTGGGGCTCAGCGTGCACCCCACACCCCAGGGCATCGAAGTGAGCTGGGCAGGAGGAAGGGCACTCGGACCACGCGTGTCCTGCCCCTTCTCCGCCGAGCCTTGAAGACTCCCGGTCCCCACACCCGGCTGCGGAGGCTGGGACCGCCCCCTGCAATCTGGGCTTCCCCGCAGCTCCCTCCGCCGGTCCCGGGGGTGGGCCGGCGGCTAGGAGTGGGGAGAGCGTCCTCAGCCCTGGGGCAGGGAGTGGTCTCCCCTCAGTAGGAGACGGAACCTCCCCCGTCACCCCTGGCGCAGGGCCCGACACCCACCCCGCGCTCACCCAGAAGACAATGTTGAAGCCAAACAGGAAGTATTTCCCGCAGCAGCCGACCCCGGGTTCCTGGAAGTGCTGGTGCTGCCCTCGCCGCGGAGAGCGCCCCGGCGTTCTTCATTCCCCCCCCCACCCCACCCCCGGTGAGATGCTCGATGATGGCAGCACCAACCGCGGGCATGCAGGACCCACAGTCACCCCCACCCCGCGCGCCCCAATCCCCGGCCTTGCTGTGGGAGCTCATCTTGGAGAGAAGTAACTACTGCGCTGGTGAGCAGATGGCGACGGAGGCTCGGCTGGAGTTCGGACGCACGTGCAGGGCGTTTTCGCCCAGGAGTCCAATCTGACACGCGGTTCGCTCGCCAGAAATGTAGCCCTGCAGCCCCCGGCTCGCGCGCGGCTACACCACGCCCGGGCCCTGGGAATGGTGAGTCGGCTGGTCGCTGCCCCTTCAGTTTTTCTGGGGGCACACACCCCACCCCCTGGCTCAAACCCTTTTGGTGCTTGGAACCCGTCTTATCCCTCTTCCCATCCCAGCGTGGGCCTGATTGGGCTCCCTGGTTAGGCTCACACGAGCGCCTTCCAGGGAGGACGGAGCAGATCGAGGTTTTGGAGGGACTGAGTCATAATGTTAGAGCCCTCCTTTAAAAATCATTCCAGTTTTGCGCAAAGGGGGGTATTTATTTCGAACAGGAACAGAAAGGAGCTTGAGCTCCATCAAGTTTATCCACCTTGAGTAGCAAACCCGGGATGAGGTCTGACCGCCAAGCCGCCTCCTCCCCTGAGCGGGGCCTCGTCCACCCCCTTCACTTAAGCTCCGCCCTGAGCCAGGGAATGGGGAGAAACACCCAGCCTCTCCCCCTCCTCCCAGCCTGTCCCCCTCCTCAGCTCCCTGTGAGATGATGGGGTTCTGCCGCTAGGCCTCCAGCCTCTGGAGGGCACAGCCCTACTCCAAAGAAGGAAAGGGGTCCAGGGTGGGCTCCAAGCCTACAAATCTGCTGAGAGGAAATCCACAAAGGTTTTCCAGCACAGCGATCACCAGCAGGCGAGGCCCGGGAATGCTAGCTCTCAGAGTGGCAGTAGGCTTGAGCACCCTCCCCTAGAACAGAAGGGTTGGTCCTCAGGCCTAGCTAGCCCCCTTTCCAGGTAGGCACAGAGTCAGTACTGGATCATAGACTGTTCCTGTCGTCTTCCCACCTTCCCCCGTGACACCCCACCCCACCTCTGGGTGACACTGCCCTGGGTCCTCAGCCTGCCCTCCACCACACCACCCACAGAGCAGCCCCTAGGCCTGGGTCCCAACTCATGTTAAAGAATGTTCGTATTAACTCCCGAACAGGTGAGAACCAGCCCTCCGCCTTCGCCCCCAGTCCTGCCGGGACACATATACAGCAATAGTGAGGGGCTCAGGGGTGGCTGAATGGAGAGGGGTGCCCAGGCCCTCTCACACCACAAACTTGTTCTTGGCCAGGATGTTGCTCTTAGTAGCTGTGTCTGCATGGGCCTGGTACCCAATGACGGTCTTTGTCGAGAGTCCCAAGCGCCCTTTGTAGACCCGCCTGGGATGGGAATAGGGGGTTAGTGGGAGAGGAAATGAGACAGGCAGTCAGCAGCAGTCCTGGAGGTAACCTGGTCCTCTGCCCAGAGCTCCTACCCTGGTGCCAGCCACAGACACTCCAATTTTGTGTGTTTTAGTCATATGGAAACCCAAAATAAGACTAATGCAAAAGAAGAGTTCTGCTAGAAATCGTCTGAAATCTAGGTTCCCAAACCCTTCATACATGTGAGGAAGGCAGAAGGGGTAAAAGTCAGGGAGAGTTCCAGAGGTCCTCCTTGTTGGCCAAGCCCCCCCGCATTTCACTTTCTCCCCTAGAAGAGGCCCAGCCCCCACCCCATGCCAGACACCCTCACCCGATGTAGAGCACGCCCGTCTGGTTCTCTGCCTCCCGCGTCCACACTGCGATCTTGTCCCCCTTGGTTCGGATGTTGATGACGGCCCCACACACCTCCTGGCTGTACTCTTCAAAGCTCTCCCCAATGAGGCAGAGCAGCTGGGGCCCAAAAGGGAGGTGATGAGGCCTCCAGCTGTGGCACAGGGACTGCACCCGCCATCCTTGAGACCACTGCCACCACGGGTACCATACCGACCCTGCCCCCTCCTTTGGGGGACCCTCCCGACCAGCCCCTCCACTCACTGTCTCCAGCCACGGGGGTCCAGGGTGGGCTCCAAGCCTACAAATCTGCTGAGAGGAAATCCACAAAGGTTTTCCAGCACAGCGATCACCAGCAGGCGAGGCCCGGGAATGCTAGCTCTCAGAGTGGCAGTAGGCTTGAGCACCCTCCCCTAGAACAGAAGGGTTGGTCCTCAGGCCTAGCTAGCCCCCTTTCCAGGTAGGCACAGAGTCAGTACTGGATCATAGACTGTTCCTGTCGTCTTCCCACCTTCCCCCGTGACACCCCACCCCACCTCTGGGTGACACTGCCCTGGGTCCTCAGCCTGCCCTCCACCACACCACCCACAGAGCAGCCCCTAGGCCTGGGTCCCAACTCATGTTAAAGAATGTTCGTATTAACTCCCGAACAGGTGAGAACCAGCCCTCCGCCTTCGCCCCCAGTCCTGCCGGGACACATATACAGCAATAGTGAGGGGCTCAGGGGTGGCTGAATGGAGAGGGGTGCCCAGGCCCTCTCACACCACAAACTTGTTCTTGGCCAGGATGTTGCTCTTAGTAGCTGTGTCTGCATGGGCCTGGTACCCAATGACGGTCTTTGTCGAGAGTCCCAAGCGCCCTTTGTAGACCCGCCTGGGATGGGAATAGGGGGTTAGTGGGAGAGGAAATGAGACAGGCAGTCAGCAGCAGTCCTGGAGGTAACCTGGTCCTCTGCCCAGAGCTCCTACCCTGGTGCCAGCCACAGACACTCCAATTTTGTGTGTTTTAGTCATATGGAAACCCAAAATAAGACTAATGCAAAAGAAGAGTTCTGCTAGAAATCGTCTGAAATCTAGGTTCCCAAACCCTTCATACATGTGAGGAAGGCAGAAGGGGTAAAAGTCAGGGAGAGTTCCAGAGGTCCTCCTTGTTGGCCAAGCCCCCCCGCATTTCACTTTCTCCCCTAGAAGAGGCCCAGCCCCCACCCCATGCCAGACACCCTCACCCGATGTAGAGCACGCCCGTCTGGTTCTCTGCCTCCCGCGTCCACACTGCGATCTTGTCCCCCTTGGTTCGGATGTTGATGACGGCCCCACACACCTCCTGGCTGTACTCTTCAAAGCTCTCCCCAATGAGGCAGAGCAGCTGGGGCCCAAAAGGGAGGTGATGAGGCCTCCAGCTGTGGCACAGGGACTGCACCCGCCATCCTTGAGACCACTGCCACCACGGGTACCATACCGACCCTGCCCCCTCCTTTGGGGGACCCTCCCGACCAGCCCCTCCACTCACTGTCTCCAGCCACAGGCGGTCCAGCTCAGTGTGGCGCTGCTGTTTGGCAAGGCTGACCAGCCAGCGGCCACCCCGCTTATTCCTGGCGTCTTCCCACATGGGCTCGATGCCATCCTGGGAGGCCAGATGGCAAATCAACTGCCTCCCTTTGTTCAAAGGGAAGTGGGGGCCCAGCCACCTCCCCCGGTCCTGCTCCTGCCCCGCAGGAGGTCTCCACAGGCTAGTTTCTGTCATGCCTCCATCCCCTCTGTACGGGCAAGTGCCACCACCAGCCATTCAACCCCCAGAGCCTCCTCTGAGCTCCCCCAGGCTCCAGAGCCCTAACATGTGTCATCGTTTACAGCCTTGCCCGTGTGTGTGCCTGTCTCCTTTACTGAACAGAGCTCCCGAAGACAGGAGTTCAAATGGGGGTAATTCACAAAGCCTCTGGGGCAACCCCCGTGTGGGCCATGCCAGACATCCCAAGCTCAGCTGGGCACAAAGTCACCTGGGAAATCTTTAAACACTGACGCCAGGGTCGCACCACACACATCTGCTGGTCGACAGCTCCAAGGATTAGCCTGGACCTTGGTGAGCAGTGCCCATGACCAATTCTGATGCCTATTCCTAGTTAAGGGACCCAGGCCAGAAACCTGGGCTCCTTTGTATCCCCACTTTTCAGACTCGCCCTTCAAAGTGCAGCGCAGGTCTGACACTTTGTCCAGGCTCCTCTACAGCATTTCCTCCTCCTGGCTCTGAGGGAGGCTGTCCTCAGACTCCACCCCCACGCCCCCTGTGAGGGAGGAGTGCTGGGGAGAATCTGCCGCCCTGTGCCTGGGGGCGGGAAGCAGGGCTTACCTTGAACAGGGCATAGTCACAGCCTGAAGAGAGCTTACTGGCCAGCTGGATGTGACTGTAAATCCTAGGAGAGTCCCCGACCCCAGGCTGAAAGTCCAGGCTTTTTAGGGCCTGGTTCCAACTGACCTCAGCCCCTCAACTTCTTACCAGACCCCACACTGCTTTCCACCAACCTCCCAGCCCCCAAGCCTTTGCTCACACTGGCGCTCCGGCCTGGAATTCCATCCTTCCTTACCCGAACCTTCAAACCCCACGTCCTCCCTGGAGCCCCCACCACCACCCACACCCAGTGCGGGGTTGTTTCTGGTGCCCCTCCGGCTGGAGCCCAGGCCTTCTCCCCCAGCCCTAGGGTTATAACAGCTCCTTCCTGGTCCCTCACTTGATTCTTCATAGACACTGAAGCAGCCTAATTCTCGCTTTGTGGTTGAGACAAGCTCAGAGAGGGGACGGAACTTGCCCAGCGTCACAAATCATGAAGCAGCAGAGTCAGGGTTGGCTCCTCGCTTTCTCCCACTTCGCAGGCTTTCTCCCAGAGCCCCAAGAAGGTTTCCCCCCCCCCCCCCC